ATTCATTATCAATTTATTTCTAAACCACCTTAAAATTACAGACCAGGCAAAGTGCTACCACTGCGGTTCATAACAACAAACTTCCATAATATATCTTTTCTAAAGGGTCATGTAAGACTTCTGGCTCTAGACAAGTTTTATTTAGCTGGACGGAGAAAAAATGACTCACAATCTAAACCTTTCCATGCTAATTCTGGCTGTATTTATACTTTACAGTTATACTATCTGAGTTACTCTAAAATCCAAACAAAATATACTGATGTGAGCAAATGTGGACAAATGTACACATTAAAACAAATACTTTTGCCAGGTACTATGAGTTTGAATATTTACTACGGCAAAAGTTAAGATGCAAAATTTGTTTTCTACCCTACAGAGTCGCAAAGTAAACAGACAGACCACAAGTTGCAGCTAACTCTAGCAGTTAATTTTAAGGATGCTAAAGGACACTTCCATTCATTGTCTGATGGCAGACTGCAGCCAAAAGGATTTCCTGATGACAATTGCTGGCACTGTGTTCATATCAGTCAGCACTACAACGTGTGGAAAAAAAAAAAAAAAAAACTATCTTCGCTTCCAGATAACAGAAGACCTGACAGGTATTGAAAAGAGGTTAACAAGGGTCTTATTTGTTGTACATTTCACAAAGAAGCATACAATTTCTCACTGATTGGCGAACAGGAGTTCACAGGAGACGAGACAATGGGGGCATGGGGGCGTTAGGAGTGAGGAAATGGTCTTTATCTTCTTGTCAGCTCGGTTGATTAGACAGGATGCTGTGGGCAGGAACAGGTGTGGAGCATTGTCCACACATCCAAACATTGTTGAGAGCGGAGACCTATTATGAGTGTCTTTTGTAGTATCGGGTTTGGTTAAATTTACGTTGGATCTAATGCACTGTAGTATGTTTCCAGCTTTTGTAGGGGTCTTCAGTCCGAACGGCCTTCACAGATGTATTTGGACGGCTCCAGAGTTCACCTCAACCAAACCATGACCTTCGTTTCTAGGCAGTCTAGAGTTTGCTTTTTTGGTCCATGTCAGAGTTCGATTGCATATTCACACCTCTCCAAATAAACCTGACTTTCAAACTAGAGTTCAATTAAAGCAGACTAATCAGGGCTGGTGTGAATGTATCACTGTGTTTTGCACATATAATCTAGAGCTGCTTTAAGAAAGCGGCTCATGACATAAACTGTGCTAGTTGTAATCATCTGAGCAGAAACTAGACATTAACATTTTCTTCCAACCAGTTAATGCATCATTAGAGCTAATAGGACACACTGACAGCAAAGTTCTTACAAGTGGAAGTTGTTACTGAGAGAAGACAAATAAAAGTTTTTTATTTTTGGTTTCTGTGAGATGTTAAAAAAAACTGAGAAAAAGGTAAAGGACAATGCTTAAAGACCTCGCTGTATTTAATATCAGACTGATATTGGCTGCTATTTATGTTGCTATATCTAAATGTGGAGTGAGAAGTTGGCAAAAACAGGAAAGTGCTCTGTCTTTTTCTGTGGAATATTCCAATTCTGTGTCTTGTGGAACATTAGCAGCTATTGGCTATCTTATTGAAATCTCATAGATAAATTAGGGATTTTCCCATTAATCCAAACAGAGACTGATGTGTACAAGTGTAAAATCACATAAAACCACAAAACTATGACATTTTTACTTAACAGCATCAGACCTTGGAAATCTCAAAGTGATCAATGTCTAATACAAACCCTTAAAACAACAGACAAAAACAACAAAAGACAGATAAAAAAAATACAAATTAAAAACAGAATAACAAAAGAAGTATTGTTGAAGTTTTAAATCTTTTCAGGTATAGGTGTCTTTATCACATGTAAAAGAATGGCCTTTTTGTAAGTTTATATTTGGACTGCACCCAGATGTTTCTTGTTTTGACTAAGAGCAGATGTGCCACGTACCACCGCACACCGTCCGACATGTAATCTGAATCTCCGTGAAGTAACGATAAATAGAAAATGTGCAGCCTGAATGAAGATCTTTCAAACCCCCATGAGAAGTAAATCGCTTCATATTCACTGGGCCCCGGAGACCTCTTTAGGCAGACAGCCAGGCAGGAGGGTTCCGGTGCTGCTGGCAGGAACAGAGCCAGTTGTGATGGCTTTCCCTTCACTACCGGAAGCCAGATGGAAACACCTATTGTCTTCAGTCACAACACATGCACTCCTATATGTTAGAGTAAAGTGGGAACTTTAGAAAGCGCAAGCTCTGTAGTTCTTTTTTTTTTTTTTTGTAAACAGTAAACAATGAAACCAAGAAGAGCAGTAGAAAATAGGATGCATTTGATTATTTAAAAAACAGAACTCTTAACCAATGTTCATGTAGTTACATAATCCTTTGACCTAAATTTTCAGACTTTGATGGAATTCATTATAACTTGAGGAAATTTAAGCGCATGTAAAACATTTGACAAACTGGATTTTATCTTCTGTGTGTTTCATAAATTCTGAAATGAACAAACAAAACCTGAAGTTGACTTTCAATTTGATAGCTGGGTGATTTCTGGACAAACTATTCCTTAAACTTGTGAAATCTACAGATTCTGTATGTTATACCTGTATTGTTTTCTAATACAAAGAATCATAATGTCTAAGCTTTTTTGCTCCTAAACTGGATCCAGTTTAATAATAAGTCCAAGTTAAAAACCTGATCTAAGAGGGTTTAGCCATAAAGCTCTGAAATTATCCCTTTTTTTATTAGGTGCAAGTATGCGTTTTTAAAAATCTAATTGATATATAAATATGAACAAAAACAGGTTTTCTATGTGGGCAAATATAAGATGAATTTTGTCAGCTGAATAAAAATCAACACAAAAATGATTGTCTACAAATGAATGTTTTCTATCTTTGTGATCGAACCACACAGCTTTTTCTGTATTTGATTTTAAAAAAAAAATCTAATTCTGTATTTTCCCTGATTTTTGTACATATAAGAACCTTGAACATTATAGTGTAAACAACGAAATACACCGTTTTATTTTGCAAGTTTGGGTCATATCTTCTTAATAATGTGGAGGTTAATACCAGATATGCTTACGAAAGAGCACATGTATGCAAGTTTCCTACATATAGGTATCATTGTATCTCCCTACTGAAGTTAATTAAAAAAAAACTAAAGGAGAAGTGAAAGAGAAAGAATTAAAAGCGGAAGACATCAGCAAAAGAATAAATTTAAGTAGTCTATTATTTTAAAGGTTACGTCCAGCAAGAATAAATAAGAAAAAAAATATTTTTGAAAAATCACTCACCTTTTGATCGAAGTACAATGTTTTATAGCTGATGGGAGGCTCCGTGGTGTAACGTAACCCTCCAAGTCTGGTGAAAAGTTGTGACTTTAGAGAGGTCACGTGCAAACATGCCAAACACAACGTTACGATGCAGGTAGCTGCAATTGTGTCCAAACTCCTGCCTCCGGCCATCATTCTGCTCCTGGGTAAATCACAGCCCTCGGTGTGCCGATCTTCTCCGTGGTCAACACTGCCGCATGATCTCTGCTGCGATTGCAATAAGTATACTTCTCCCGTAGAAGGCAGGAAGTGAGATTCCCCCTGTCAGCAGGTCCGGAGAGGTGTTGCCATTCAAGCCAGTGTCAACTTAGCATGTGAGCAGCGGTTGAAGTCCGCTTCTGAAGAGCGCACACCAGGTGCCAGAGTCTCCGGAAGTACTCAACTAACACTGCTAAGTAAGCTACCGGGGATGTAAACACACAGCAGATGGCTCGTATCATAAATAGACAAGAATGAGCGTACGCCGCATGAGCGTCAGCGACGTACGTGAAGTTTGCAACCACCTTGTGAGGGGCAACTTTTAGTTCAGCCATAAAAAGCTACAGAGAATATTTCTGTTCTAGCAGTTGTGTGACTGTGTGCCCTGTTTTGATGGTCCTCTTTTTTCACACACGATATTTCATGAATGAATAAATATACAAAAGCAAATAAACAACAAAAAAATCCTTCACTTTCTGTTTTCAACATGCTGAGTCGAAATCATTAACATGGATAACAATGTAAGTTCTAAATATACATTCATATTATTATTCTAAAAAAAATTGAATATTATTTTCTGATATGACAAAAACTGATCCAAATAGTTTCTCAGAACTATAATTTCAGAGATCAGTTATCCTTGAAGTAACATCCATTAAGCAACAGTTTTTGACAAACTATAGAAAGTTTTGTTCTTCCTCTGACTTAAATAAGGGTAAGCTTAGGTGCATTTAAGCATACTGTTAAATTTTGGTTTTAAGATGTCCATTAAAAACTATTTGAAAATAAACTTATACTTTTTTTTCGGAAAACCAAGAGATTTAAAAGTGCCACTCACAAAATGGCCGACGAGTCTTCAGACTGAGCACACTGCGACGTCTAGTCTGCTACCATGCAATGGTTGATGGGAATGTGAGTTCTTTATAAGAAAGATGCAACAAATTCCAAAGTTGATTCAGTAGTGCTCAGAACTTTGATGCTCAATAATAGAGCCCTACACATTTATTTCATTTCAGTGTTACTTACTACCCTAGATTACATTTAATAGAGTTGTCAGTTCATTTCTAACCAATTTTATAAAGCAGAAAAACTTACATGCCAACTCTAAAAGCCTGAAAATTTAGCATGACTACATATTTTGCTTTGTCTCTTTTTTTGGTAAAACGTGCAGAGAATGAACTGCTTAAAATATTTTTTAAAAACTAAGAAAATCTGGCCATTACAAGCAAAAATAACAACACAGGGCAAATAGTCAATAATTAGTGTAGCTGTTTAATGATATACACAGTAATTTAGGGATTATTTTTGTACACAAAAGGAAAAAGTACAACAATTCAAACAGCCTTTCAGATGTAAATCCCATTGAAGTTGACAGGAAGATGTAAAGAATTAAGCACAAGTATCTCCTCTTAAACCTAAAGCACAAGAAATAACATAACTCTGGCACTTCTAGCAAATGAGAAAAAACTGAAGGTACAAAATCATACAATAAAAGTGCCAAGATGTACTACAGTAATAAATCTGTACAAGAAAACACTAAGTGTTACAGTTAAAAAAGAAAAAGAAAAAAGAAAACAAAACTAAGTGTGCAGTATATGGTATTGTGCAATACAGCAGCCTGTAGTTATGGCAAGTGAATAAAAGATAATTTTAGACACTACCATGCTGACGACAAAATAAATTCACAGAAAGCATAGTATGAAATACAACAAGTTATATAAAATTACATGGACACACCCCCTTGAAACTATTTCATGACCAGCACTGACAAATGCAGTAATATTCACGTGTATGTTAACGAAAACAGCTGACAATCATAAAGAAAAATCTACTTAGAAGTTTCACTGATAGAAGGCTGTCCAACTGCTTCAAACTAAATCAGCAATCACTAAAACTGCCAATATACTAAAAAAATATTAATAGCGACGCACAATACTGTAGGTTTTATATGTGGTTCAGTTTTCATGACATAAAAACATGTTCTAGCAGCAAGTAAAAAGTCAAATTTGGGAGAAAAAAAATGCTTCACAGTATGCAATGACAGGTGCAAATAAAAATGATTTATAAAATGACAAAGCTGTCATGGTGACGTGATTCTCAGAGCAGAGGGAAAATAAACGTCCAACAGATTTTATGTTACATTTTCAGCTTGTAATCTCCAAAATGTAGTGCTTGTAAACATGTTACTGACAACTAATAAACCCCAATGTTCACTAAAATTGTCATCCAATTTGTAACAATATACCTGGCAAAACTTTTTGCTCTCTCATAATACTGCTGGTGAATACTGATGTCAGATGAGAAATGAATCCCAAAGGCCAAACTGGAAAGTCCTGCAGTTTCTAAGCCCTACCCAGATTACCCACATTATCAGTCAAACATAAGTGCATCTGAAGAAACTGGGATATGATTTTTTTTTTTAAATAACTAATCGAGTTAAGTGAAACCTTTAAAATGTTATAAATTCATTACACACAGAGCAATATATTTCTAAAAGGGATTTTGAATGTAGAAATGTTATGGCATCTTCAAGTTTTTCATTGGAAATACAACTGACGTGGCAGGTATCATGCAGAGTCGCAGCCACCTTCCAAAAGGAGGGTAAGATACCAAAAAGGCATTGCTAAAAAAGCTGGCTGTTCACAGACTGCTGTTTCAAAGTATATCACTGGAAAGTTTGGTGGAAGGACAGATAACTGCACAGATAACTGCAGCCTTTAAAGTATTGTGAAGCAAAGGCCACTCAAGAGTTTGGTGTAGATTCAGATGTTGTGGACTGACACTCCCACACATAGACGTATCCTGGGAATGTATGACAACTGTGGCATTCCTTGTGTTAAGCCACTCCTGAATCAGAGATGATGTCAGATGTGTCAGAGGTGCCTTATCTAAGGAGAAAAAACATCAAGACTGTCGTCTTTTCAGATGAAAGTAAAATGTGTATTTCATTTGGAGGCAGGAAGAGTGGAGAAGCACAAAATCCAAGTTGCTTAAGGTCTGGTGTGGAGTTTCCACAGTTAGTAATTTTTTGGGGAATTGAGTCATCTGCTGGTGTTGGAGCACTGTGTTTTCTGAAGTGCACAGTCACCTACCATGGAAGAGCACTTCACTCTTCCTTCTGCTGGCAATGTCAACTTCCTTTTCCAGCAGATCTTGACACCTGCCCACACTGCCAAAACTTCCAATCTCTGCATTAATGACCATGGTATCAATGTACTGAATTAAAAAATAAACAGGCCTGCGCAAAACCCCATTTAGACTCAATGGAGTACTGTTAAGAGAAAGATGAGAAAATATATCACTCTGTTCATAATGAATCTACATAATGTGTAAGTTTCACTTTTTAAATCGAATTAGTGATTTAAATGAACGTTTTGATGATGCTTAAATCAATTGATGTGCACCTGTTCATCCTGATCCAGTGAGGATACTGGCTTTAATGATAGTAGCACTTTTAAAAACTAAAATCAACTAGCTCCTTTGTACTGCGTATAAAAGGCATGGGAAAAACATGACCAAACTAAGCGTTGGCTTTATGCCATCTTAGCAGGACGGAGGCATTGGGGCTCAGCCATCTATGTTCTACAGTCAATGGCTACCGAGTTACTGCAGCCGGGCAGCTGAGCTCCCTTTAATTGAGGCTGCAGCAGTTCAAATAACTGATGGTTTTACCCTCTCCGGGCATTGGGGCAGTGTCATTGTTGTCGAGCTTGTTCTGCTTGGCTTCTCGGATGAGTTCGCACGCCAGGTCGAGGAAGAGTTTCTCGACGTTGTCGGACTCTTTGGCCGACGTCTCCAGATAGAGCATGCTCTGAGCCTGAGCGAAGTCTTCGGCCCTCTGCCTGAGAACCTCTCTCTTGTCTGCCAGATCTATTTTATTACCTAAAAGAGAACGGGCAAAACAAATCAGCCAAGTAACGTCACGTATGTCGGGAAATGTTATTCTGAGCGCCACTCAGTGTGTAACGAAACAGATGGGCATGGAGGTGTATGTGTATGCCTGCATGTGGGGGATGAATTTCAACAAAGGCTCTGAGTGGGAGTGCTTTATCCCAAAAATTTTGTTTTTTTTTTTTTTTTTTTTTGACTGACATTTCATAGGTTTTGTTTTGGATAAATTAGTTAAAAGCTGGTGCTATTGGAGATTCTATTGTTTCAGACCCTGTGGGCCGTTTACTTCTGACCATGTATCAGTTTGTTACTTCTGAGGGGATATTTTGCACCTGCATTGGCAAGTAGTAACTGTAAGTAATTTTCTATAATATATTCATGGTCAATTGAAAGAGGATTCAGTGGAAGGATCCTCAGAGTTCATTTGGTTTGCTCAGAGAACCTAATCTGTCATATTTGGCAAGATTCAACTAACCCAAAAGGAAATCAAAACCAAAATAGCATTAAAGCCCATATCATGTTAAGTTCAGAAAATAATTCACTATAAAGTTCAGTTAGAGTTCATCACCTTTGCCAAAAGCAATTTTTTTCTGCCTAAAGCATCCATTAGAAAAAAGGGGGTGTTTTATTAATTTATTTATTTTTGCCAAAATCACTTTTGGCAAAATATAATTTAGGCAAAAATTTTAGGAAGGTGACAAAAAGAAATATAAGCATTTTCGTGTAAAGCTCACTCTAAAGAGAATATTTTTGAGTACATGTGTATGTAATAGGTTGCTTACTGATACCAAATGAAAAAAGAAAGAGATTAAATGACAACACATGGCTACAAAATGAGGCTATGTTTAGGAAAATATGTGATTTAATCTGGAGGTATTAAAAACATTTAGTGCATTGCAGACAACGAAAAGTAGGGAGGCACGATATATTGACACTTACATTGGGATCAGCTGATATTAGTCTTTTCTTAATGTCAGTATTGGTCCGATGAATAAAACAGGGCCAATATTAATAACCAATATTTCTATTCTGTAACGGTTTGCTTCTGAGGAGGAAGGAAACAGGTTGGTGATGTAGCATTTGTTTGGTCATGTGACAGCGACAGTGATGCAGTGCAGGATTGTGAGGAAGAAGTGGTGAAGTCAGCAATGTGATCTTTTTTTTAAAGGTGTAGAATTGGTAATGAAATATATATTTATACATATGTAAAATATATATCAGGAAGTATTGATTATCAGCAGTAACAGCAATATCAAAATTGGCCCAAATTTTCATATTTTCATCCCTAATAAAAGACTATCTTGTATGAAAAAAAAAAAAAAGCAGGACTTTCTTACCGACTAATATAGTCACCACTTGGTTGTTGGCATACTGCTCAATCTCCTTCAGCCACTCTGGAAGGCACCGAAAGGAGTCCTCACAGGTAATGTCATATGTGAGAATGAGGGCGTTGGCACTACGGTAGTAACTCTGAGTAATGGAGCGAAATCTCTCCTGTCCAGCTGTATCCCATATCTGCAACTGGAAAAACGAAGCAAATGACACATGTCATTATCTGGCAATTTAAAAGTAAATCATTAGCAGAGCATTCTTCTCCACTTTGTAAACCTCTCTGTGGTTTTGGGTATACCTTGACCTTCTCCCCATTGATTTCCACAGTTTTAATCATGAAATCCACTCCAATAGTAGCCCCTTGTCCAGGTGGGAAAAGCCCCTACAATTTAAGTAGAAATTTAAAATTAAAAACTCTGACATTCTTGTGTTTGATAAGATTTACAACATATTGGCAAGACACAGACCTGAGTAAAGCGCCGGACGAGACATGTCTTTCCAACTCCAGCATTTCCTATGAGAACTATTTTGAACAGGTAGTCATAATCTTCCATGCTCATAATAACCTGTAAAGAAATTTTAAAATTCAAAATGACAAAATTGCTCAAAAAGGGGGGCACCGATTGAAGCTTTCTGGCTGATCACCAATCTTTAAAAAACCTGACTGAACGATTCCAATTATGACCAATAACCATGGGCGTAGGTTTGGGTAGGGACGGTAGGGACATGTCCCGACCAATATTCACGGGATATGAAAAAGGCCCGACCAATTTTTGCCATATTGGTTCAAAGAACGTGGATCTACGATCTTTGATTAGCAGCAACAGGCGGTCCGCGGAACGGAAGATTCTTAGTTTGACATTTATTATGAGCCTCCGAGACCGTGTCGGGGGGGGGAGTCAGTTGAATCGTCGGACGTTCTTTGATTAGCTGCAAAAGGCGGCGGCTAGCTGGGCACACGCGTCTCCTTCTGAGTCGCCATGTAGCCACCAAAAAAGAAAAGGACAGACATTAGAAGTTATTTCGCTACGTCGGTTGTAAGTACAGTGAGTGGACCCATAAGTTAGATATCTATCACGCAACGCATTTGTTGTAAAGTCCGGTGTTTAGTAAGGTCAGCACTGAATGTGAGGTAGAATAGGTCTGTTAATTATGTAATATTTTTTCACATAGGATGCTCAGACAGCAGAGCAAGGGGCAGAGCAGAACGATGGAGAGGTGGCTGGAGCTTCAGGGCTCCAGGTGAGGTTAGTTCTCAGATATGAAATATACTGTGAAATTATCTCTGTATGACTGTATCTGGTTGTATACACAAGATGTATGATATGGTTATGGTTGGGGGGAGGGGGTTATTAAGCCAATGTGGTTTCCCCCACCTTCTCAAAAATGTTCGGTGCTCTTGGGCATTTCCCGGGGGGGGGGGGGGGGGGGGGGGGGGTGTCAAGGTCCCCACCAAGGTCCCCACCAAAACTTAGACCCAACATACGCCCTTGCCAATAACTTTTTTCTTTTGATTACCTAAAACTGTCAGGTGTTACAAGGTTATAATACACATTCAATGCTCCAATTTTACATTATTGGGACACACTGAAAAATACACAACTCTTATGAATGAAGTGCCTTTCGTAAATGTTCATGGTCCTTGAACTTCAACACATTTCGTCATATTATAACCACAAACTTTAATGTGTTTTATTGGAATGTTTAAGTAATACTCCAAGGCCTAGTAGTGTATAATGGATAATTGGTTTTCCAAATGCTTTACTTACACAGATCTAAAGAGAAGTAGCATGCAATTGTGATTGTACTGGTTATACTTGTAGAACAAGCATTTGCTACAATTACAGATCTGAGTGATCCAAATTTATCAATATTGGCAAATGCTGAACAAGCGGCATAACAGCAATAACGGTTTGTAACATTTATGAACAGAATTTCTAGGAGCAGTCAAGTGAGGAGTTAAACATTGGGTATTGGCCCAAGCTTCCACATTGGTGCATCCCGAATATTTGTAATGCGTGTGCGTAAAAGCAGAATTTAATATACATTAATAGAATTGTTAGGGGGAAAACACCGTTACATCTATCCTGCTCTATGGGGAGTCGTGCCTGCAAATCAAACCCGTCACAAATGCATTTCAGGCAGACAAATAGCTTGTTGCTTACTCACAAGAACCTATGTTAATGTCCTCCGCCGTAGTTTTTTTACATTAAATTAACAGCTTAAGCTTTCATGTAATATGCACCTCTTTACGGTTTCGAGTTTATTAATCCTTTACCACTGTTAAATCCAAACACCGTGACCCGCGGTTCATGTTTAATCTGATTTAACATTCTAATCCCTGTCAAAAATGATTTATCTTCAAGCTAACTTGATACCTAGTAGAGCGAAGCTAGCAACAGTAGCTAATAGCGAGGCTACCTTGCGATTCTAGCCATTTTCGCAGCTTCTGCAGATGCAGGAGGGAGGGAAAAATCACAGTCAGAGCACTGCATCAACGCAAAAAACTGTTTGCACTTACCAATAATCACGGGGATATCCCCGGACTTATAACTACTTGGTATGCATAGGTTCGGCTCTTCAAATAGGCAAAGCAGCCGCTGCTGGGCAGGGCATAATTCCCCCGGCTGAGAGCTGTGTGTCCTAGGCAGCTCAGTAGCAGCAGCAGCAGCAGCAGCAGCCTGTCTGATCAAGGAGGAGGGAGGAGGAAAGTGCACTCAATGATGTCATTAGCTTTACAACCACTCGTGGACTGCTAATCAGCCAAGTTCAACACCACAGTATTTAATAAACTATATGTCTTTTGGTTTAAAACACTGTTTGTGTTTTAAGTTTGACATATTACAAAAAGACATACCCAGTCAGAAGCTACCAACACTTACGTAAGTGAAAGTTAGCTGTTAGCTCACGAAAATGGTTTTGTCTTCTTGTCTTTGTTGCTAGGAGACATCTAAAAACCATACGTGAGCGCGTCCGCCATGTTACTAGTGGCATGTTCACCTCGCGACACTTGGAAAAAAGAAGCAGTAAAATTTACAATTAAAAATGTTTATGTATTTTTTTAAAGTTAAAGAATATCTAAATTTTATTATAAATTGTGTTCACCGACATACATAACATGAACAAATCAAAATTTTAAATGCTGTTTATATTACATAATTATTTATTATCAATGAGTCTGCACTGCTTTAGAATGCATTTTCGGTTATAATGTATGAACATAATGAATGATAATCTGCATTTTATTCTTACTGCACTTTTCATTAATCATTGTCACACAGAAATTTACCAATGACATTTACAGCCACCAGATTTCCGTGCTTTTCTATCAAAAATGAAGTAATAAAATAAAAACAAAACAGAAACAAAACTGCCACTCAACGTCGCAGCTGCCGCAAAAGAACCCATTGTAGGTGGAACTTAAACAGTCCTCATTTTCTGTGCCCGGACACTTCTTTCGCTTGCACACATGTCCTTGACTTCCTTACGGAGAGGTGGTAGCTGAAATCAAGGACTGCACAGATTGTAGATCCCAGTAAGCCTAAATAAAACAATTTAAACATTATTGTCATGGTGCTTGTGACGGTGGGGAGTTTCTCATCCTAAAGGAATCCTTTAAAGGAACCGGTATCATAATACAAAATATGAAAACTAAACTGGCAGGCTGAACCAAGACAAAAATGAGTACCGTATTTTAAACGGAGACTTGGAACGAAAGGAGTCATGCACATTCAAGGAAAGAAAGTAATCTTACTCTGTTACACATACCTTGGATCGTAGTACATCTTTTCTGATACCTGAGCTGCATTTTTAATGTTCAAATCGTGTTATTGATGTTATTGTTACTCTTATTGTAACTTTTTGATATCTTGTGTGAGCCTTCTGGTAATGATGCTGTTGTTACAAATAAATTGCCCCAATGAGGAACAAGAAAAGATATTTCTAATTTTAAACTCATGTTATTTACTTTTTTGTAAGTTTTTGGATTATACCATCTGCCAAATGCTTTAACATTATTATGCATTTATGTAGCTTTATTCAGTGCAAAACTGAAGGCAAAGACTGCAATTGATAAGCAAAGGTAGGTTGAGCATTGCATCATGCAATATATTAAGGCAACATTTGGGTGCTATTTGCAGTCAAACCTTATCTTTATTTACTTTTCACAACACACAGTCAGATTTTCTCATCATTTAATCTGCAAGAACCAAGTGTTCTTCTGTGTAAGGTTTGTGTGTCCAAACCTTTTGGGTCTAAAAATAAAAAAAAAATCTAAAACCATAAACAACATTACAGTATGTTTTTTCAGGGCTCAACAGTAAACTAAGAAAACAATAATTCTAATTAAACAGTTAAAGAAGTCTGAGTTTTTTTGTAGGAAATTACTGTAGATTCAAAAGTTAAAGAGTTTTTTTTTTTAATTATTAATAAAAAGACATCTAGTTTGCAAATTCGTTTGGGCTTGGATAAAAAGATAAAGAAAACATTCAGCTTATTGTCAGCAATGAGAACAGGATTTGGGCCACTCCCTCTAAAAAAATGCCAGCAACCAGGTTTAATAAATTAATTAAAAGCAGTTTAGGGTTCTCCAAGTTTGTTTCTAAGTAGAAGTCTATCAAATTAAGTGAAAGTAAAAATTAGGGATTATAAAATATACATTTTTAATTTGTCAGTAATATCTGTGCTCTAATTAAAGAATAAAAAAGTCTCCAACTGCATCAACCACATTTTCTAATGGTCCACACAGGAACAATTGAAGGTGCTCCAAATGGCTCCAAGGACAGCCCTGCCTTAGAGCTTACACTACTTAGCTCATATAAAGCCAAATTTACAAATAAAAATAGCTTGGATAATAAGTGTTAAGAGCAAACTTATAAGAAAAGCAAATCCAGGAAACCACATGGTCTGCCATTAAACAAGTGCTTCAAGTCTGCAGAGTTCAAAATATGAAGGGTAATTTAAACATTGTATTGTTCAAACACTGCTGCCATGAAACCTGGTGTGAATAGTGACAGATGACAAATTATGATCATAAAATTCTTTGAACACAACCAAAACTGTCACCCTTACTAAAATAATGAAAAATGTTTTGGAATAGTTTACTATTGTCACTAGAGGGCAGCCTTGAACTCTTTGAGATAATGTGTTAAGCAGCCAGTTAAAATACATTTTGTATTGAAACATTGAAAAAGCACAATGCACCTATGGCTTTAATGGCAGCACACACATCATCAGTAGAGGTTGACATGATAATATAGTTTAATGCTACATAAGAAAAACTTTCCTTCACTGAGTTCAAATTGGAAATATTTCACGAGAAAAATGACTTGAATGTAATGAAATGTCTAGCCTGAGATGTTCACAAGATCCGTAGCCCTTCAAACACCTTCTAATTTAGATTTTCTTTGATTTATCTTGACATGTTTATATTTCAGCTCAGAGGCTCTTTAAACACGGTGAGTAATTCTGCTTCAAATAAAGAATTATGGAAAAAGTCCTGAAAATGGACATTATTCTTAATCATTTACAGGTCAATATTACCTTAATTTAATAGTGATTAAAAAAAATCAACCTTTAAAAGTGCAATGTTAAAAATGCCATGAGGTCAAACATTTTGGGTATATCTAACTACTATGCTGGTGCATCTAAGAAAAAACATTAGGTGCACCAGTGCAAAAAATTAGTCAAGAGCAAAAATTTTCCATTTATTTCTCATCTTCCATCCAGTTATGTAAGGCACCTTGTGGTAGCCTCCCAGGTAGCTGCAGCCCCCACTTTAAAAAAACATTAGCTTAGGCATCTTCTTCACCCTCTTCTTCAAACTCTCCCTCCTCCTCTGCGGTGGCGTCTTGGTACTGCTGATATTCCGACACCAGGTCATTCATGTTGCTCTCTGCCTCGGTGAACTCCATCTCGTCCATACCCTCACCGGTGTACCTGTGACATGATACCGTCAGAATCTACGCAGTGCACCAGCACACTACTGTAGCTCACTGAGTCTTACTCACCAGTGAAGGAAAGCCTTGCGACGGAACATGGCAGTGAACTGTTCAGAGATTCGCTTGAAGAGCTCTTGAATGGCTGTGCTGTTTCCGATGAACGTGGAGGACATCTTGAGTCCACGCGGTGGGATGTCGCAGACGGCTGTCTTTACATTGTTTGGAATCCACTCTACAAAGTAGCTGCTGTTCTTGTTCTGCACGTTCAGCATCTGCTCGTCCACCTCCTTCATGGACATTCGGCCTCGAAAGATGGCGGCGACTGTGAGGTAACGGCCGTGGCGCGGATCACAAGCTGCCATCATGTTCTTGGCATCAAACATCTGCAGGGTGAGTTCAGGAACTGTCAGGGCCCTTGGAAAAGACAGACATCCAGTAAGAATTATGTTTGTAAAAACATTATAATATTATAAACATTATAGTTATGATACAAGAGTGGTTTCGGGGGCAGCATCTTTACCTGTACTGCTGGCTGCCTCGGCTCGTCAGAGGGGCAAAGCCTGGCATGAAGAAGTGCAGTCTGGGGAACGGCACCATGTTGACAGCCAGTTTCCTCAAGTCGGCGTTCAGCTGACCAGGGTACCGCAGACAGGTGGTTACACCACTCATAGTGGCCGAGACCAGGTGGTTCAGATCACCGTAGGTAGGAGTGGTAAGTTTTAATGTACGGAAGCAGATGTCATACAGCGCCTCATTGTCAATGCAGTAGGTCTCATCAGTGTTCTCAACCAGCTGATGGACAGAGAGGGTGGCATTATAGGGCTCCACCACAGTGTCTGACACCTGCCATGGGGAGAGATGAATACCTAGTTTAAAATTTGAAGGAAGCAGCTATGAGGCAAAGCATCATATCTGAACACAAGTGAATGCGAGATATAAACCTTAGGTGATGGCACAACACTGAAAGTGTTCATGATGCGGTCTGGGTACTCCTCCCGGATCTTGCTGATGAGGAGTGTGCCCATGCCAGAGCCGGTGCCTCCCCCCAGGGAGTGGGTGAGCTGGAAGCCCTGCATGCAGTCGCATCCCTCTGCCTCTTTTCTCACCACATCCAGGACAGAGTCCACCAGCTCAGCTCCTTCCGTGTAGTGGCCTTTAGCCCAGTTGTTACCAGCGCCACTCTGCCCTGTTGGAGATCAAAATACTTAATTAAAAAAAAAAGTCAGCTTGCTTTATGAAAAGTGCAATACTTCATTTAGAGAATGACATTGCCATTGAATAGTTGGCATCAACTGTAAAATTTAGGAACAATTTAATTAAATGCCTTTCTTTTTCCATATTTCTTAAACTTCAACAAAATCAAGTGGTTTCTTTCAAACACCTGGATGTGTTAATGTATCTATCAATTTATGTAGCATGGCAACATCAACCTTAACTCTGTCCTCTTCTAATCATATCTAGTGGTGCAGACTGTCTTACATTAAAGGAACATTATTTTTCTTTTAAAAATGCATGCTTAACTGAAATAAAATCTGTTTATTTTGTGGAGCTTTATGCCAATAATGTTGGACAATTACCAACTGAACAGCCAAGTTTCTTTGTGTGTGTGTAAAAAAAAAAACTTTTGAGAAATTAAACAGAAAATAAACATTCCAGTTTTGGTTGGCAGGCCTATATGGTCATTTCATTTTTTTTTTAAACCAAAACAAAATGCTTTCAGTAATATACATACCAAAAACAAAATTGTCAGGTCTAAACACCTGCCCAAAAGGACCAGACCTCACAGAGTCCATAGTGCCCGGCTCCAAGTCGACCAACACTGCACGGGGGACATATTTTCCACCTAATAGAGAGAGGGAGAGGAAAATTATGCAATTTTGCAGTGACACCTTCGCATGCTTGACTAAACAAAACTGGACAATGGTGTAAAAAAAGATCAAAAATGATTTCTGGAAAACAATATGAAATGCATATCAACATGAAAATGTGTATTATAAATTGTTTGGGGTAGTTGTTGTCATAATTCGTTTTTAGCAGTTATGAAAGAAAAATGGTAGCAACCGGTAGCTTGAGTTTTTGTGCATCATTGAAACAGTTGCTTAGTAACAATTAAATTCAAATTAGGCCATGTAACGGTCCTCTGGTGGACGGTAACGGCACCAAAATGTTTTCTTGAGATATTTAATAACATCTGTGAAGCAAAGTATGAACAAACCTGACGCCTCGTTGTAATAAACGTTGATCCTGTCCAGCTGTAGGTCGCTGTCTCCGTGGTATACACCGGTTGGATCGATGCCATGTTCATCACTTATTACCTCCCAGAACTACAAAGAGAGAGGAAAAAAATATTAAACTAACGGGTTGAGCGGCAACATAACGGAAACCAACGGCTATGAATAGCATTTTAGCTAACTGTTTAAGCTTTTTGGCTTTAAACTAAATCTAACTTCTCAGTCGGTGTCTCTACGAATTTAGGCCACAGTCTTACAAATATTTTTCTTACCTTTGCTCCAATCTGGTTGCCGCATTGGCCTGCTTGAAGATGAACAATTTCCCTCATTTCTATGAAAGTTCAACGAGATTTTTTTTTTCTTTTTTTTTTTTTAACGAGCAAAGTTGCGCCTGCTGCAGTCCTTCAATGAATGGGGTAAAAAATTATGCTTAACAGTTATTATGGAAAGCCACACACGCGATTGGACAATGTGGAAGTCATGAACGGCATTTGATTGGTCGGTTCAATTTTGATTGTCTTGAGCAACGCACTTGTGACATCTTAGTAACCAAAAACATTTAACAGCCTCGCTGGTGTTTTATCTCTGTACTTACAAGAAAATTGCTTTAAAATGGAATGTAACCACTACTATTTAAAGTAAGTAAAGTATTTTATTGTCAACGTACACAAGCACAACGAAATTGGAGTCATAGTTTTATGACTTAGTTTTCAAAAAAGGTATAAAGAATAAATCTGCAACCAAAGCAAAAATAAATAAACAATGTAAAATGAATTAATGGCATGCTATTTCTTTTTGTATGTCCAGACAGCCTTCCAGCTAACGGTTACGTGTACCTAATTTTTCTTATTCCGGTTGAACAGCAAAGCAATGAAACAACGGCTACGAATACCTTTTTAGCTAACGGTTACGTTAAGTGTTTTTGGGCTCAAACTAAGACTAACTTTTCAGTCGGTATTATTATATAAAATTTTATTTGTATAGCGCAGTGTTTCTCAATCTTTTTTGGGCCAGCGCCCCCCTATCCATTATCCAGGTCCCTCACCGCCCAACATCAAAGCATTTGTAGGCTACTTTTTACTGAATATTATTTTATTATAATATTACTATCACTATTGTTGGTGTTTTCAATTTTATGCTTGTTTCTGTATTTATCATCAAAAATAATTTCCCAGAGAACAAAAAAAGCCATGGGAATAAAACTCATTACATTCATATTCAGTGCCACATCATGGAGTCACATTGTCTTAATGTGCCAAATGACCTAATTTGGTCATTTCATCAGTGAAGCAAAGTCAGGTTATCATGCACAAATGTGCATCCTGGAGGAAATTCTCCCTGTTCCACCAGGCCGTGAAAATGGTCGGATCCGCCTCTCCGGCTGCAGTGCGCCAAAGAAAGGGGAAACAGATTTTCACAGGGGAACAGAATTGCGCACAAGACCTGCATTTAACAGACATGTACTCAACGTCTGGGGAACCATGTTTGTCTACAAAACTGGTACTGGAACTGTTTTTGGTTACTAAGGTAGTGCACGACGTTCACGCTAATCAAAATTGAACCGACCAATCAAAGGCCGTTTACGAATGGCTCATTGTCTGATCGCGTGCATAGTCCTTTGGCTTTCCACGGTCAACGTGGAGCATCTTTCTTCCCCGACCCCCACTAAAATGGAGCAGCAGGCATAACTGCTCGTTAAAAAAAAAGAAAAACATTGCCTTGAACAATTGGAAAGCCTTTCATAATAATGAGGGAAATTGTTCATCTTCAAGCTGGCCAATGCGGGAACCAAATTGGATCAAAGGTAAGAAAATATATTTGTGAAATGGAGGCCTAAATTCACGAGGACACCGACTCAGAAGTTAGATTATTTTGAGGCCGAAAAAAATAATAATGAACGTAATAGTTCAAATGTAATCAGTACACGCTACTGCTCTGCCCCTTAGTTTAATAATTTTTCCTCTCTCTTTGGTTGTAGTTCTGGGAGGTAATAAGTGATGAACATGGCATCGACCAAACCGGGCTATACAACGGAGATAGCGACCTGCAGCTGGACCGGATATGCGTTTATTTCAACGAAGCATTAGGTTTTATTCATATTTTACTTCCCATGGGAAGTTATTAAATATCTCAAGAAAGCACTATCGTACCGTTAAAATCCACTAGAAGGCCGTTGCATTGCCTAATTTGAATTTAATTTAATGGTTACTAAGCATCTGTTCCAATGATGCACAAAAGTCCAAGCTACCAGTTGCTACAGTTTTTTGTTTTATAATTGCTAAAAACAAATTATGACTACAACTGATGTGCTGCAAACTGTTTTTTATCCACATCTTGCACATTGATATGAATTTCATATTGTTTTCCACAAATCATTTTTTATCTTTTTGTCCAATTTCACTTTGTCAAGCAGGCAAGGATGTTGCTGTGTCTGCATATTTTTATATCCTCTTCCCTCTCGCTACTAGGTGGAAAATATGTCCCTCGTGCAGTGTTGGTCGACTTGGAACCAGGCACTATGGACGCTGTGAGGTCTGGTCCTTTTGGACAGGTGTTTAGACCTGACAATTTTGTTTTTGGTATGTATATTACTGGAAGCATTTTGTTTTAGTTTAAAACATTTAATTGACCATATAAAAAGGTATGGCTCATGTTGCCATTCTAAAACCTGTACGTCAGGTACAGGTTTTCACCAACTCCAGTCCTGTAACTTTTAGATGTGTCTCTGCTCAAACACACCTGGATCAAATAAAATGCTCATTTCCAGCCTATTGCTCCAAAATTCAGACATTTTGGAGCAGAGGTGAATCTAAAAGTTGCAGGATGGTAGCCCTTGAGGACTGGAGTTGGTGACCCCTGCTGTACCTTAACATGTGCAGGTGTGACATCAATCAACCGACAGCAGACTGCACCTAAGGGCTTCTCTAAACATACAGATGTTTGAAAGAAAACCACCTGATTTTGTTCAAGTTCAGAAATCTTGGGGGAAAAGATATTTAATTAAATTATCAACTATGATGACAACTAGTCATGGCAATATCATCCCCCCAATGGAGTCTTGAACTTGAATTCAAGACTCGAAATAAAAAAAGTTGACTTTTATATTTTTTTATAAAATATTTTGATCTCCAACAGGCCAGAGTGGTGCTGGTAACAATTGGGCTAAAGGCCACTACACGGAAGGAGCTGAGCTGGTGGACACTGTCCTGGATGTGGTGAGAAAAGAGGCAGAGGGATGCGACTGCATGCAGGGCTTCCAGCTCACCCACTCCCTGGGGGGAGGCACCGGCTCTGGCATGGGCACACTCCTCATCAGCAAGATCCGGGAGGAGTACCCAGACCGCATCATGAACACTTTCAGTGTTGTGCCATCACCTAAGGTTTATATCCCACATTCACTTGTGTTCAGATATGATGCTTTGCCTCATAGCTGCTTCCTTCAAATTTTAAACTAGGTATTCATCTCTCCCCATGGCAGGTGTCAGACACTGTGGTGGAGCCCTATAATGCCACCCTCTCTGTCCATCAGCTGGTTGAGAACACTGATGAGACCTTCTGCATTGACAATGAGGCGCTGTATGACATCTGCTTCCGTACGTTAAAGATTACCACTCCTACCTACGGTGATCTGAACCACCTGGTCTCGGCCACTATGAGTGGTGTAACCACCTGTCTGCGCTTCCCTGGTCAGCTGAACGCCGATTTGAGGAAACTGGCTGTCAACATGGTGCCGTTCCCCAGACTGCACTTCTTCATGCCAGGCTTTGCCCCTCTGACGAGCCGAGGCAGCCAGCAGTACAGGTAAAGATGCTGCCCCCGAAACCACTCTTGTATCATAACTATAATGTTTATAATATTATAATGTTTTTACAAACATAATTCTTACTGGATGTCTGTCTTTTCCAAGGGCCCTGACAGTTCCTGAACTCACCCTGCAGATGTTTGATGCCAAGAACATGATGGCAGCTTGTGATCCGCGCCACGGCCGTTACCTCACAGTCGCCGCCATCTTTCGAGGCCGAATGTCCATGAAGGAGGTGGACGAGCAGATGCTGAACGTGCAGAACAAGAACAGCAGCTACTTTGTAGAGTGGATTCCAAACAATGTAAAGACAGCCGTCTGCGACATCCCACCGCGTGGACTCAAGATGTCCTCCACGTTCATCGGAAACAGCACAGCCATTCAAGAGCTCTTCAAGCGCATTTCGGAGCAGTTCTCCGCCATGTTCCGCCGCAAGGCTTTCCTTCACTGGTGAGCAAGACTCAGTGAGCCACAGTGGTGTGTTGGTGCACTGTGTAGATTCTGACGCTGTCATGTCACAGGTACACCGGTGAGGGTATGGACGAGATGGAGTTCACCGAGGCAGAGAGCAACATGAATGACCTGGTGTCGGAATATCAGCAGTACCAAGACGCCACTGTAGATGACGATGGAGTGTATGAAGAGGATGAAGAAGACTAAAATAGTCTTCTTCACGTCTGAGCCAGTGTTTTTTAATGAGGGGTCTGCAGCCAACTGGGGGGCCTCCAAAAGGTTCTGTGGGGGGCCTCAGAAATCTGGAGGGAAGATGAGAAATAAATGCAAAGACAATGCTGGAACAATTTTTTTGTACTAGTGCCTATTGTTTTTTCTTAGGTGCATCAGCACAAAAGCTAGATGTACCCAAATGTTTAACCACATAGCATTATTTAATATCACAGTTTTACAGGTTGACTTTTTATATTATAATATTAACCTGTAAATTATATCTATTCTTGGAAACATTTTTTATTGAAAGCAGAATTACTGAGAGTGTTTAAATATCCTTTATGAGGTGAAATTTAAACATCTCAAGATAAATAAAATAAATTATTTTTAAGACACTAGATTAGAATAAAGTCATGATAATGTGGCTTTATTGTCGTAATACTACAACCTTATTCTCGTATTATTTCGACTTCACTCTCGTAAATTTATTTTGTTTTTATTTTTATTTTTATTTTTTCGTAGCGTGGCCTCCGTCGTAATGCTGTACTTACTTTGCATCTCACATAACTGAACCCATCTCTAGTGGAACCTAAACCGTTCTCCTTTGTTGTACCCGGACACTTCATTCGCTTGTACGCCCGTCCTTGACTTCCCACAGAGAGGTGATAGCTAAAACTACCCAGGCGATAGCTCACGACAAACCTACATAAAGTAGATTAAACATCGTCGTCATGGGGATTGTTCCAGAGGACGGAAAGGCTCTCCCTCCTCCCGGAATCGTTAACAGGAACTCGCTGTGGCTGTCCGGTATGGGCTGGTTCAGCGCGATGCTCCATAACGCTATGAACCATAGGCCGCCTCTGAAGTCAGGTTAGCATTGTTGTTTCTGTTTTGATCTGCTGAGAAAGTCGATCAGACCGCATTTTGCTTAAATTGTAAAATCAACATAGTTATGTATTTCGGATTTTAGACTGTTACTATCTTTTGTTTTATTGGTGCATATTTTCTGTGTAAAAGGTGTTGTGATGTACATGACTCCAAGGCAGTTTGCCTGCCTTGCAGTTTATTTCGAGTTTTCTCGAGCCATTGCCTTTTAGTTTGTTTTTATTTTTAATTAGGCATTTTAAAGATTATTATTGAAATGGTCACGTTATAATATGAAATCCACAAAATTGTCATTCTGAGAGACAACAGGGAACACACTGAAGGTAGTTGCATCCTAATTTATTTTTCAGGCGTTCATCGGCAGTTCCTTTTGGCAACTCTTGGCTGGTTCATCGGTTATCATCTTACAAAACATGAAAACTACACCTATGCCAGGCTGGACCGAGACATGAATGAGTATGTTAAACTCTACCCTGAAAGATTTGAAACTAAAGGTTAGTAGTTTTGTTTTTCACATTTTAGTCCCTTCTTCATCAGTGTTTGCTTAGAAAACGTGTTTTAAAATGTCACTGATGTATCTATGGCATGTTCACTTGTGTCGATGTGGTTGTGCCTAAACACAGCAGTCATCAATTTGTTACCATTAAGAATTACAGCACGTTTTAAAAAATATAATTAAAACGTCTCTCAAATACTAGACATTTAGAAGTTATAATTCTGATTGTTAGTTTAAACCATGGCTGCCCATATTTTTGTTCTAATGTTTTGTCTCCGTTTCTTTCATCTCACCAGAAAAAAAGACCTTAGCAGAGATTGTCGAGCCGTTCCATCCAGTGCGCTAAGTCTCAGTGGGCGCCAGGGAGAAAAACAGAAGAATAAAGAGGACAGTTTTCCATTAGGCAGCCTGTTTGTGAAATCTGCCATGTATTGTATGAACTATAGAGATGTAAATAAAACAAAAACTACTAAAATGTGTACTTGTCCTAATGTAGTATTCAGAAAGCCCTGCGATGCACCGCCTCTCGCCCGTTGAGAGCTGGAGATGGGCACCAACACTCCTCCCAAACACCCACTAGGGATAAGGATGTATGATAATGGATGGATGGATAGTATTCAGAAATTGACAAGTTTTTTTGTCTTTATTTACAAGTCATAAGTTTCTTTAATGACTCCTAGTTCATTTATTATTGTGGCTGTAATCAGTTGAGCTTTTACTAATTAGAGTAAGACCATCTTCTAGTTTTTAAAGGTTTAACCTGCCGGCTCAGATTTTGTGCCATTTCGTATTTCTAAAGTTTATAACACACAACTATTTTATGTGGAGCTGCACCAGTCATTCGGCCTAACATTAAACTTGCCAAATTTGATCGACCTGTATGACAATTTTTTTTTACATGTTAAATGCTTTAGAACTAAGAATGAATAAGAACTGTCTGAATGATGCAGCTCTAGTTTTAATTCTACAATCAAATGAAACAAACTATGATGAGACAAAGATGTACTGCATATCTTTCCATGTTAGAGATTATAGTTTTAAAACCGACAGTAAATTAAGAGATGAGAAAATTATTGCTATTCCCTATGCCTCAAAGACATCCCTGATGTTTAACAAAAGTGGAAATATGTCTGGATATGGAAACAAAGTGGAAGCTTTTAGCTTGGATACATTCAAAGATTCAAAAAGCTAATCACTAATTAATGGCTGCCTTACTAATTCCAAAAAATATCGTGTTACTCTGTGCAAATTAGCTACTCGCTACCAGCAAATGAAACAAGTTGACAGTTTTGCTCAAGTACATTTATTTCACATCCACATCACATTTACAATAAAACCCTAAAGGTCAATGTCTGCAAACAATGTTTTGACGTTAATTTGCCAATCCAATTATGTCCAAGTATTTGTCAGTGAGGCTCCGAGTCTCCTTTGTGAGGTCGCTCATCACAGAAAACAGTCCTCTCAGATGGAAGAGAAATAATGCTTCAGGATCAGCCTCCAGGAAAGGTTCCGGGGTCTTGGTGAATGTGGCGTTTTTGGCCTTGTGATCGTCCAGGGGAACCAGGCTGCTCTCAACTGTGTTTCGAATGGCCTTCAGCATCAAGTAGTTGGCATAGAGATCTCTGCAGGTCTCATCTGCTGCTTCGCAGTCAGAGGGGACGTCTCGCAGCAGGCTTGGCAGGAGGATGGTCTTCTCCATGTCGCTGACAGCTGAGCTGTATTGCTTCAGGGTCAGAGACAAGCTGTTTCTGTTGAATTTGGCTTCAGCAGACTGCATGATTCAGGTGGATGTGGATGGCTGTTCCTGAGCAGTGGTGGCACACGGCAGGTAGATTTACGCAGTGCAAAGCTGCAGGGGGAAAAACTGCGTTTTAAACGATGAGCGAAGGTGGGTTGATCAGTGCATCATCCGATATATTTAGGCAACAATATGGGTGCTATTTGAAGTCAAACCTTATCTTTGTTTACTTTACAAAACACACAGCCTGATGTAGTTTTGTGTTTTAAACTGCAAGCACCAAAATGTTCCTCTGTGGAATCATTAACCATGACAGACAGGCATGATGTCTGAATGACCTCAGGGGCATGGACTAATGAGTTTACATCGACCCAAATTTCCAAACAAATGTAACTTTAGTAATAAGGGGTAAAACTAAACTTAAAATATAAGAGGCAAATCCAGGACATGTCAAGGTCTGCCAGAAGACAAGTGTTTTTAGGTCTGCAGACAGTTTAAGATATGAAGGGTGATTTAAAACATTGTACTGTTTAAATGTTCACACACTGCAACCATGTTGTTATGAAGTTCTGCTCTAAATACTGACAGACGACTGACAAATAATTTATCATGAAATGCTTAACATGATAATCGGTTACCTTCACCAAAAATAATAAAAATGTTTTGTAATACTTGACAGTGGTCACTAGAGGGAAGCCTTGAGCTCTTTGGCATAAGATCTTAAAGGGATAGTTCGGGATTTTTCGAAGCGACGTTGTTTGAAAGGCTATTGTCAATATCTATTATTATTATTATTATTATAGTATTAAAAATAACCCGCAGTTCATAACTCTTCACGGCATTTTCATTAAATATAAATACAGATAAATTGATACCAGAAGCTGAAGCCAAGCAGCTAGTCTGAGATCAAAACTACACAAACTTATACAATCTGAAAACAATGTATTAAATGTCCCAGCTGTTCATGTGAATACTATTCAATAACCATAATCACATATGCATTAATTATTTACAGAAAAGCCAGTGTGTTTACACAGAAAATGGTGGCTGGAGGCCATGAAAACAGAAAATCAAAAGCATTTCCAGTCAGAGTAACTGTCTGAACAGAAGAGGGATGTGAATTGTAAAATATTACAGCAGCCTAGGGGAAGGTTGTTTTATAGATGTTTACATGTAAATTTAAGTAGGTCATTTGGACCAGAAACACTTTCCTTTTTCTTCCTCAGGATTTGGCTAACACAGCTCACTGCCCAACAACTGGGCAGTGAGCTATATTACCCTTATCTGACTGGACTGTTATACGCTGAACGGTTTTTTATTATGAAAATTATGATGCATTTTAAAAAGTAAAACATTTTTTCAAAACGGGTTTCTTTGAAGGAGTAGCTGGCAGGAAAAGGAGGCATTTACCAATGCCTCCAATAATCTCTCCTCATACTTTCACTTTATAAATCATTAAACTGCATCCATATAGCTATAAATACTATGCACCTTGTAGACAGAACAACATCTATATTTCTACTTAAAATTTTGCCTATTTTTAATGTTTTGTTTCATAGTTACAAATACATGTAGCAATACTGTAAACCAAAATAAAATAAGACACTCAGTTATGTCATTGTAGCCTTTGCAGGTTTAAATAAATGTCTTCCACGTGTGGATTTCATCTTTGACAATGATTTTGATAAAGTCTTTCAAAAAGTGAAACAAATTTTAAAAACACTGTTCTATTCATAAAGGCATCACTTTCATTAATAGTGGCAACATATTGTAACATCCATGATATAACATGTACATACA